AAAAAAAAAAAAAAAAAAAAAAAGCACACACAAAATTTCCGGTTTTTCTCACCGCTTGGGGCATTCTTCCCTTGCCACACTTGCCGATAGATGGATGGTACAAACAGGACAACATGAGCGCTTCACTTAAAGCTAAACTTTACTTAGTCTTAGGAACTTACACATGTCTGTAACACGTTAGTAAAACACCCCCACCCTGGACTGTTACGGAAGTGAAGTGAAGAGGGACACCGGGCAGGCTTCCAATGACCATTCTGCTGTCTGCTGGTGGGGACGGATATGTGTCCAGATGTGAAGAGTCCTCAAGGAGTCCTCAAGGCATCCCTCCAAGTGTCCCCCAAATTGTCACACTAATTCAAACTTTCCTTCCCTATTTATCCGTTAGTATTACAATAACATGTCACTCAAACAAGTGTCAGGCAAGCATCTTTTAAAGGTTAGGCAGGAGGGTTTTCATCTAATCATCACTTTTGGCAGATGCATTTTTTCTTTTTCAGAGACTCCTTGCCCGGGGCCCTGACAGTTCTATGTCCTAGGGCTTTTAGATAAGCTTCCTATTTTTCTAAAACTATAGCTCAGGGACGTCACTAGAGATTTGGACCTCAGGAAGGACACAGAGTCAAGCTGGCCTCTCTGTGATACTCAACTCCCCTTTCTTCCCCATCCCTGACTGTGGTCATGCTGAAGTTGCTGTCTCGGCCTATTTATGGGCCTGCTAGCTTGGTTGCTAAAGTTCCAGCAGTAAGCAATAGTGGTTCAGGCACGTTACCGGATGTGCCAAAGTCTCCCCGCGCAGGGGGTTGGGGAGAGATGTCCCCGCCACGCAGCATGTCCTGGATCCCAGAGACCTAGGCCTGTTGGAACCACAGTTCATGGACAGAATGAAGAAAGCTCCACAGGAGTCTCGTTGGACTCAGAGCTCCCTGGAGCTGCTCTTACTTGTGGGGCAGTGTTTCTGCCCAGGCTGCTTCAGCAAGGATCTGCCCCTCCAAGAGCAACAATCACTAGGGGCAGGACAGGGCCTTAAGAGCCCGATCAAAGGAGGTTCCCATGGAGGTGCAGGCGACAGCTGCCCGGGGCCGGCAGCGCAGCAAGGGGGTGACTAGGGGTGTGAAATTTAAACAAATTAGATAATCCACTAGGCAATGGGATTTCCAGTGACTCTTCGGTTAGTCGATGAAGGCACCTCCTCCTGGGCACTGCCGGGCACTTGTGACAGGTCAAAACAGAAGCCATGCAGAGAGCATGGGGCCAGTTGGGGTGTCCTGCTGGGGCTCTTGTCCATTTCAAAAGCAGAATCGCAGCAGAAGTGGCGCTAGCAGAGACTGCCAGAGAGTCTGGTGTCAGGGTGACAGTCGGAGCCAAGTGTTTGTGTCCCAACCCACCCAGATCCAGGGTCGGATTCTCTCTCCAGGGAGGGAACCTGGTGGGAAACTGAAGATTGGGGTTTCAGCACCAGCATCAATAAATGTCACCTGCCCCCCATCGCAGTCCAGGCAAACCCGGATCCTGCTGGGGGGGCGCAGGGGCAGGGGGATGCGAGGGTCAGTAAGAGCCTGGAACTCACCCCCCCACCACTGCAGAGCCCAGATCCCACCCTTGGGACTGAGGCTGATCCATCCCTTCCTGCTCACAGACTCTCTGGCCACCCCCACACCCCAGCATGACCCATTCCCCACCTCCACCTCCCAGAAATGTCTCCCCAAGGTGAAGCCCTCATGGCCCAGCACACAGGGCTGATAGTCAAATCGCTCAGGGGTGTTGGTCCGTGGCTGCATTGTGCCTGTCCACTTCACACATTTCCCATCCTCCGACGGGATGAGGTTGGGATGCACCGTAGCTGGATCCAGAGTCACTTTAGCTGGGGAGAGAGAATCAGAGTGTGAGGGGCAGAGCTCGGACATGGGGAGAGTTTGATGGTGACAGGGACAGAATCTTCCCCAGCTGGGCAGTGCCTCAGGGACTCTCCTGCCTCCAGGGGCGCTCGGCTCTGAGTGGGGAGCAGCCCTGAGGTCTTGGCCCAGTCCAAGGGGCAGCTCACTCCCCGGCAGGGAGGGGCCATGGCAGAGAGAAGGGGTCAGAGGGGCCCTGACACTGGGAATCTGCCCCCTCGCCCTGGGCCGGGGACAAGCGACTCTGGGCCGGGGACCCCAGAGGGACAGGATGGAAACTGCCTGGTCAGGGCTGGCTGAATCCAGGCCCTGCCCTCTGGGCGGGGCCCCTCCCCATTGAAATGTCCCTGGGTCCCAGCTGCCTCTGGGCTGGGTTTGTGATTCCCCCTGGGACACGTCTCCCCCGCACGGCACGTCTGGGCTCGGTTCCTTTCCCGCCGCGCTGGGGCTCTGGGCCGAGCTCCGACCTGCCCCCCACTAGCCTGCTCAGCCTCCGGCCCAGCGCCCGGACCCCGCAGAGCCAGCGGGGAGGGCCAGCAGGGGGGGGCAGGGACCAGCCCCAGGGGGGGGCAGGGACCAGCCCCAGCTGGGCTGGGCGGGAAGAGGCTGAACAAGGTGAGTCCTGCACTGGGGGTGCCCAGGCACCATGTGGAGGGAACGGGGGTGTCTCTGTCCTAGCCATGGCAGGAGGCTGATTCAGGGGCTGGCAGAAGGAAGAGGGGCCCCAGGGAGCTGAGGGGGGCACAGCGGGGGCTGGGCGGAGGGAGAGAGAAGCTGAGCTCATGCAGCAGGAGAGAGGAAAAGGGGAACAGGACCAGAGCTCTGCTCTCGGCAGCTCCCCAGCTGCCTGCCATGGGCCCAGTGACTGCCCCTGTCTGTGCCCCATGCCCTGGGGCTCTGGGGTCTGACCCATCCCTTCCCCCAGCAGAGCAGGGACCCTCCCATGGTCTCTTGGGTCCTCTGCCGGGGGCAGGAGGAAGCCGCCGTTCCAGAGAACAAGGGGAGCCCAAGGCAGAGAGGAGTTTCACGTGTATGAGGGCTCCATGTGGGGAGGGGCGAGGCTGAGGGTTTTGGATGCAGGAGGGGGTACAAACTGAGGCAGGGAGTTGGGGTGCTGGAGGGGCTGAGGGCTCTGGGGTAGCCCTGGAGATGACAGGCTCTGGGCAGGGGGTTGTTCTCTGGGTTGTTCCAGAGAACAAGGGGAGCCCAAGGCAGAGAGGAGTTTCACGTGTATGAGGGCTCCATGTGGGGAGGGGCGAGGCTGAGGGTTTTGGATGCAGGAGGGGGTACAAACTGAGGCAGGGAGTTGGGGTGCTGGAGGGGCTGAGGGCTCTGGGGTAGCCCTGGAGATGACAGGCTCTGGGCAGGGGGTTGTTCTCTGGGTTGGGTCTGTGGGCTGGGGGGGGCTCAGGAGGAGGAATTTGGGGGCAGGAGGTGGTCCCTGGGGTAGAGGGCAGTTTGTGGAGTCATTTCCTGGCCAGTGGTGCTAGGCAGCCTGCCCGGTGCCTGCCTGTCCTGGGGCACCGCACTGCGCCAGGTCCCACATGAGGTTTTCAGGGCGTTCACCTGGTCTCAAGGGTTCCTCCAGTGCAGCCGGCAGAGTGTCTGGGGGAGGAGAGAGGGAGATTCAGGTTTGCATGTGGAGCGCAGCGCTTGGTTGTCATGTGACAGACACACTCAGGCCTTGTTCACTTGCGGCCTTTTGTCATCGCCTAGGCCCAGGTCCTGCAGAGCCTTTGGCATCAAAGCCACTTTTGGCACTTTGGTCCCTTGGATGCTGACGGGAGGTGAGGGGGTGTGTGTGAACTCCTGACTCTCGCTGGGAACTGCGGGGCTGTTTGCTCAGTGTCTTTACACAGAGCAGCATGACAGGGCCTCTAGAGGCAACAATCAGAATAAGGAGAAAATAACTTTCACCCTGGGGAAACAGGCAGGGCAGTGGGCACCATAAGCCAGATTCATCCTGTGCCGGCAGAGCAGGGCGGGGAGGCCACTTGTGGCCCACTGAGCAGTGGCTGCAAGGGCTGGGGCGGGCTTGGCTCAGGCTCAGGCAGAGTCACATCACAGTTACAATGGCCCCAGGTGCCTAGGCCAGGCAGCTGGGAACCAGAGGCCCCATGTTACACTGCCCACGTCCCTCTGTCGCTCCCCTCTCCTTTTCCTCCCTCCCATCCTCTCCCCAGGCCTCTCAGTGTATGTCTACACTAGTCCCCTAGTTTGAACTAGGAAGGCTAATGTAGGCTTTTAAGTTGCAAATCAAGCCCGGAATTTAAATATCCCGTGCTCGATTTGCATCTTCCTGGCCAATCGTCATTTAAAAAAAATTTTTTTTTTAATTTACAAGTCCGGACTAATTGCCCACGTCTACACATGGCAGGGACCCAGTAGTTCGAATTAAAGCCCCTAATTGGAACTACCAGTTAAACCTCCTGCAAGGTGTAATCGCGAGCAGTTACTCCGGACTTGTAAATTTCAAAAAATGATGACCGGCCAGGAAGATGCAAATCAATCATGGGATATTTAAATCCCGGGCTTGATTTGCAACTTCAAATGCCTACATTAGCCTTCCTAGTTCAAACTAGGGGACTAGTGTAGACATACCCTGAGGGACTTGCCTCTGTTCCCCCCCCATACACACCTCTTCCCTCTGCTGTCCCCATCCCTGCACCCCACCCCTCCTCAGCCCTTTCAGGGACAAGCCTTGGGCCTGCAGCTGCTGGGAGGAGGCACAAGAGGCCACTGTGCTGGAGGAACCCCTCTCCATGGGGGAGGGGCTTTCTCCTGCCCTGCAGCCCCTTGGTCCAGAAGGGCTACCAGGCAGGACCAAAGCTCAGGGAGGGGCTGGGCCCAGCTCGAACAAATGGCCTTTAATTGAGGGGCCTGCATCTGTGAGGGCTGCACCACCTTGGGGCACCCATCCTGCAGCCATCTAGCTGGGAGAGACGCAGGGCTCAAGCAAAGGGATTTTGCTGAATTGGGGCCTGAAGGTTGTGACCATTCATGAATCAGAAGTTGATGGGAGACGCCCTCAGGCCTGGGCCGGCTCCTTCTCCTCTCTCTCAGCTTGGCACTTGCTAGTAGGGAAGTACTGAGAACTGGTATCAGGGTTGTTGCTCTGTCCATGTTTGGAGAGACTGAACGTGGGTATTTATGCCAGGGCTGGGCAAAATATGGCCCGGAGGCCGGATCCAGCCCACCAAGCCACCAAATCTGGCCTGTGGACCCCCCTGTCAGGACCTGCAGGTACATGTAGCTGTCACGGTTTAAAGCTCAGTTCCTGCAGCTCTGGGCTCTAGAGGGAGAAGGAGGCTTCATGTAATTTCCCCACCCCCCGCCTAATCCTCAGCTTCTATTGGCTGGAAACAACCGGCCAAAAGGAGCTGAGAGATTGGCCTGGGAGGGGGGTGAGGGGCAGCACAAGCCTGTTCCCCCTCCTGAAGCTGAGAGCCATGTGGAGGGAGCAGCCTGCAATTTTAGTGATCTGGGGCTGCAGCAGGAAGGGAGCCCAGCTTGCCTTGGGGGATGCTGCAGGGCTGCTGGCTGGGAGATATGTAGGTAAGTGCCTCCCAGCCAGAGCCTGCCTTTAGCAAATCAACCCCTCCTGCGTCCCAGCTCAGTTCCCTAGGTCACCATCCAAACCCTCTGTACCCCCTGCTCCTGGTCACAGCTCCCTTCCAGACCCTATAGCCCCCTCCTACACTCCTCCCACAGGCCAGAATCCTCTCCTGCATCCATACCTCCTCCCTGATTGTGCACCCCAATCCCCTAACCAAGGTCACTCCCCAAACCCTCTGCAGTCTAGACCCCGTTTTCCCCTTCTCCCAGGTCACAGCTCCTTCCCAGATCCTGTACCCCCGCTCCTACATATCTCCCCCAGACTAGAATCCTCTCCTGCACCCAGACCCCCTCCCTGACCCTATACCCCACCCCCTGACCCAGGTCACCATCCCAAACTCTCTGACAGACCCCACTCCATCTCTTGCACCCCAGTCCATTACCCCATGATCCGTTCTGCACCCAACCTCTACCCTGGGCCCCGCACTTCTGCGACAGCAGAGTGAAGCCCTTGGCCACTTTCCAAAATCTTGGAGTGGCCCTCGCCCTGATTTATGCTGATTGGCTTGGTTTGGGTCTACTGAGCAGTGTGCTTGCCATAAGGGAAACGTTTTCTTCAGTGACCTTGCTCTTAAAGTGCTGCGTTCCTGAGTTGCTCTGCAGGACACAGATGTGTTGCCCACACAAGGTGCTTGCAGACAGACACCGAAAGTGACCTGCCCAGGCCAGGGAGTAACATTCAGAACCCCCCTGTGGAGAAGTGACCTGTGCACATCAGAAAAGAGAGTAACTTGAAAATTGCTTGAACAGCAAAAATGCTCCAGCAATTCAAAGTTCCTGTGTGTGCCGTGTACACGTCACACAAGGTACTTACTGTCCCTAACACAAAGGTGATTGGAACAGAACTTATCATTGTATAATTTGGATTATTATAACAGGTCAGATACTGACAGGGGTGATCCTACTATTCCAGGAGAAATGCATCATGCCCTAGGAGAAGGAAATTGGGTTATGTTTCTCTCTGTCTGTCATTTCTCACTCTCACACTCTGTAATTGCAAAGGCTGCTTCTGAACAAACAAGGGTTTGAATTAATCAACCTGAGTGTCTTGGAACCCAAGTCTGTGCCATTCACCCTCCCCCCGCCAGATATATGGAAGCATCATCTAATTATGAACCAATTGACCAGCGCCATTCTTCTTCCACGGTCTCACTTTCCCTCCTCCATCCCCCATAGGTACCTTTGAACTCCCTCAGGATCTCCGACAGCGCAATAGCTTTCTGGGAGAAACCTCTGACTTGTTCTTCCAGTTCAGGAGCCATCTCCTCAGGCTTCTGGGCCTGCCCCTTTTCACACCTGGAGAGAAACAACATCCCATGGAGACACTGCAGTGGTTCCCAGACTTTTTGTCCATGTGGGCCCCTTTTCAATCTATGAAAATTTCATGGAC